TATCTTGGCTAGCAAGAATTTTCAAAGTAGCAGTGTAAACTGTAAATGTATGTTTTCTGAGACTGCAACAAACTTTTGAGACACAAACAGTCATGCCAAAAGCTGATGCAAACAGTAAATAGATTTTGCTTGAATATTATTACATTATCTCAAATAAAAACACTTTTTGTGTAGCCTGACTTGCCTTAATCTGTTTCCATGCTAGCACACAGAGCAGAAGTCTGACTCACACTTGTTTTTCTGTTTTTTCTCTCTCTAAACTCCACATATCTCTCTGAACTCTCTGAAGTTGATTTCCATGTCCTCCTGTGGATGACTAACACCCCACAGGAAGGAAAATCACATGTGAAATATCTTTAACATCTCAGTTGTTTCTTCTAGACGGCAAAAATAAGAAAAATATGAAAAATATGAATGAGACAGTTGAGGAGACGAAGTTTTTTGAATCCTGCTTCCTAGTGCCTCACCTTCGTCTTTCTTACAAAACCTTCGTCTTTCGAAACTTTATTGGCTCATTGCAGCTTGTCTGTGCACTTGCCCAAAGACTGGACAACTGGATTTCAAACCAGAAAATTGATGTATTGCTTCTTTGAACAATCTTGGAATTCATTTATATTTTTATTTTAGAAGAAACATCTGAGAGTTAATACTTAATATGTACACAACTGTTCTAAAGTTTTTTTTTATTTTTTTTTAAGTCTCTTCTATTCACCAAAGCTGCATTTATTTGATCAAAATACAGTGAAAACAGAAATATTTTGAAATATTACAATTTAAAATAACTGTTTTCTGATTAGCTATATATAGTTGTGTATATATATATATATATATATATATATATATATATATGATAACACATATACATTTTTTTTTTTTTAAGTCTCTTCTATTCACCAAAGCTGCATTTATTTGATCAAAATACAGTGAAAACAGAAATATTTTGAAATATTACAATTTAAAATAACTGTTTTCTGATTAGCTATATATAGTTGTGTATATATATATATATATATATATATATATATATATATGATATCAAAGCTGAATTTTCAGCATCATTACACCAGTCTTCAGTGTCACATGATCCTTCAGAAATCATTCTAATAATGCTGATTTGGTGGAAATATTTCTTCTTATTATCAAACGGTTGTGCTGCTTAATATTTTTGTGGAAACTGTGATACTTTTTTTCAGGATTCTTTGAATAGAACATTTAAAAGAACAGCATTTATTTGAACAGAAAGGCTGTACTCTCACTTTTCATCAATTTAACGCATTCTTGCAGAACAAAAATATTAATTTCTTCAATAAAAATCTTACTGGCCCCAAACTTTTGAACGCTAGTGTAATTGAGAGCTCTATTAGCTGTACTGGGCTTCAATAGAGCAACCTCCAAGTATAAAAAGTCCTCTGGGATGTTAACAGAAAGTTTCACTGACTCGAATCACGTTTTGTAACTGAAATGAAAGCCCAGCTGTCATAAGTCTGCACATACTTACAGAAAGCTCTCGACAGATCACTAAAAGAGAGGTGTGTGCGCAGGGGAGGGGGAATGATGGAAAAGATGTCTGAGCCATTAACATTCATCCTCTAATAAGATTGCAGTGGTGAATAAATCAGTGTGTTCAGACGAGCCTCATATAAACAAAGCCAACATTGCCCAGAGCTCCACTGACCCACTTTGGCTAGGCTTGTTTTGGGGAGCCAGTAAGGGTAACCGGTCCCAAAGGGTGGGGTTACTGGTAGGGCAAGCGTCTGCTTACTATGTAAGTACATGAGCATGAGGAGGAACTCAGAGTGAGGCTCTGAAAAATCACATTTGATGGCATTTAGCAGATGCTCTTATTTAGAGTGAATAGAGATGTACTGTAATAAATTACACTGGTTATTATGTGAGACGAGTATCTGGGAGTAAGTTTTCAGCATGATCATTTACTATGAGCATGGACTGCTCATATTATGTTACAACGGCATGATTTTAGGTGGGAAAAGGGAAAGAAAAAAAGATTAAGAAAAAAAAATGGTTCTGCTCAGTTCTTTGGGAAACCAAAAATGGTTCTTCTTTGACATCACTGAGAAAAAAAAAAAAACTTTTGAAACCTTTAGTTTTAAGAGTGTACTTAAACATTTATCAAATTCTTCCAAAATCCACCGATCTGTTTATCCAGATTAATTTTATAAATATTTACTCATGCATATAGCTCTATACTTATTGCATACTGCATGTAACCATCTTAAATTTAAAAGGAGAAACATCTGAGACAAAATCCTTATATGAAGCATAACTCTCATAAGCAACCTTTGAGCAATAAAATGTTCCTCTAGGATTTACTCTAATTGCTAACCATGACCTCTGAGCTGACGTACAGGTTGGGGTTGCAGTCAGGGTCATTGCACAAATCCAAAAAGAGGGATGGGCGAGAGATTTATCACCATAAATAAGTTGTTAAAGTCCCTGTAAAGTCAATTGTGAGAATTGTTTCTGAATGCATTATAAATGTTACAAATGTATTGCTGAAACACATTACAAAGACTGTGAACTATGTAGTACTGAATAGTGGAGTTAGACCTTTGAACAGTTTTTCACCAATCCTATGTTCAGGATTTTTTGGGCGGGGCTAAAAAGGGGGTTCGATGACGCACTGGGAGACCCCGAGCCATGGCCCCTCCCCTAACACTATAACTAGAGCACATTCGCATCAGTTCACCCGCTCAATCGCGAGTTGTCAGTACCGTTAGTAACACACAGCCTACACAGTTTGCTAGCTAGCTATGCCTTTGTCACTGAAATGCGTATTTCCTGGTTCCGATAACATACAAAACAGCTCGGCACAACACGCCTCGGCAGTGATCATTTTACACTGGATAAATTTATAAACTTTCATCGGAGACAACTGGGATTCACTGATAATCCACTGTTACTGGTAAATGGGGCCGAACCGACTATTTCCCGCCTCGGCCTTCATCCTCCCTTCCAGACACGCCCCCAGCGTTTGAGAGCAGAGGATACCGCCCATTTTTTCAAGATTTTGATCACTTATTTTAATTTACTTGGCGGATTTTTTCATCATTCATCATTTGGAGTGGTTAATAATACATTTTTCTGTGGTGTGACAAACTCCGAACACATATTTAATATTGCCTTTACAGGGACTTTAATGGTCACTGGCTGGCAAGAGGATGGTCTCAGATCTCAATCACGGCATGAATTACAACCTCTGGATGTCAGGAGGACATTGTGAAGAGAGAATTACACTAAATTTCACATTTCTGCAGTACTGAGAGCAACTGAAACCATGAGATTTTAATTTACCCTAGGAATAACCCATCAAAACCCCCAAAATATCATCAGTATGTGACTTTTATATAAGAAAAATCTGGTAGTTGCTTTTCAGGAAGCAGTGTGCATAGCAGCATCCTCCCTCCGTTTTGACCTAATCTACCCTTGAAAAAGCTGAATTTCATATCTCTTCATACTTATTTTCAGCCTAAACATAATCCTCATGATGACCTCTTTATAGTGGCAGTCACAGGCCCTGTATTTGCTTTCATGGTAAATGCATTTACAGTGATAGCAAAGTTAATGAACCTGATGTTATTGTCATTTTTCTAAATTGGACTTGTTAATCATATTTTTCTAGTAAAAGAGAGGATTGTATGTATAATGCAAGACACATGAAAACAAACCAGGTTTCATAACATACACTTGTGTGACTAGACTAGTGTGCAAGCAGGTCACATGTTTGGGCAAAAACAGTTGTGCTCAAAATAATCTGGCAACGAGAGGGAAGTTTCCTAATAAACTTTCCTTATAAAGAATCTGGGAAAACATGTGGTACTTTCTGCTCCGCAGCACTCGGCCTGTCCTTGTGAGAGTCCTTAGTTCCCCTCATGACCAGATGTGCCATGAGGGAGGGCTGATCTTCTCGAGAGGTTCCCTCTGTTTCATTCCAATTTATGACTACATATTCCAAAGAAAATACCAGTGGTGTTTGCTTATGCAAAAGCTGCCATCCTCATGCTAGGGTGTCAGAATTCAGACTGGCTCCCCTTTAATTCATGTGTGTGAATTTGAATGGAACTGGCCACATCCCACAGGAAGTTGAATTGGAATGGCATTCTCAATTCAACTTGGAACGGCACATATCCCTGTTTCTAAGGTGCTCTGAATGTTTGCTATGCAGTTGCTAGGGTGTTTTGGATGATTGCTAATTGGTCACTTTCTGGCCCAAGTCAGAAGAGCCCGCCCTCAAGTAGTCTGGTCACCAGATATGGTTTGAGACCTTCAAAATAAGTCTACAGGATTTTTTCACCCATTTGGTGAAAACTAGGTCTAATCACCTACAGAAGAAACAGCACACCTGTCCTGAACAAACCAAACGATAAGTATGAGCAATATTAAAGGCGCAGTATGTAATATTGACAGCTGGTTGAAATGGGTCAGTCAAAATTCAAACTTATTGGAGAGAGTTATTTCTCCCTCCCCCGCTTCCTCAAACTCGACACTCTCATGGGTTGCCAGTTTGAGGACACGCAAGAGCGCAATTGACTATTAAAGGTGACAAGCCTTAGACTTTACGTTGATGAATTGTTTTAATATGCCTCTGGTCATAGAGCTTTTTAGGTGGATGCCGAGGTTTTTTAGGTTGGGTAGAATCTGTGATCTCTGACCCAGCTGGCTTCCATGGCTGCAATATGCTGTGTTTTCCGCCAACTGCCAACCCGAGCTGTCAAAATACTATTGGGTAAATTGGCAGTGGGTGGAATCACACAGACCAAAACAAAAACAGACATTCTGAAACTCAACACACATTTCAAAGTAGAATAAGTGGCTGTAGCATTGTTTTTCAGAGAAACAAGTACGTGAACTTAGCTTGTTTCCTAAATATCTGCAAATGTATTATTATATTTTTGTGCTTTAGTACAGTCCAAAAATGTCATACAGCACCTTTAATAGTAATTCTTGCCATTGTGCATAACCTGGTTCTTCTGAACGCTTACCTGCAGAACATTTGAGCTCCTTCCATAACGTAGCACTGGCCTCCGTTGAGGCAGTAGTTGGGCTGCAGGTCACATGGAGACTTGCAGGAGCCATTGGTGCGGACAAAACCTTGCCGACATTCTGAGCCGTTAACTGAGTCGACCACACCAGGGGGAGCACGGGGGCCTGCACCCACAGTGGATCCTTTGGGGAGCGTGAAAACAGGGTTGGAGGGCAATCGAGGAGGGAAGCGTTTGGAAGGAGGAGTAGTGGAGATGTCATCGTTGTAAGAGTCAGTAGTGCTGCTGTAGGGGTAATCTTCAGTGGTGGGAGACACACTGTCGTCGTAGGGCGTCATGTAGTCGTAGTTGTCGGGCATGGACCAGGAGGTGGGGTCACGGCCCTGAAGCTCATGCGGGGAATGAGACGGTGGCCCAAGGTTCTTGCGGCGGGAGCCGGGGTCAAAGAAATCTACGGTGACGTCGGACGGGGAAGGGGGATGAGTTGGGGATGGGGTTGTGGGAGACGTCTCATGGTCGAGGTCAAACACGGTGGTCTCCAAATCTTCTTTAGCATCCAGCCAGGGTGGTAGTGTAGGCACTTGCTGCCTCACTTCCTCTTCCGTTTCCTGTTCCTCTTCCTCCATGAAGGGGGTGACATGCTCCTTCACGAAGGAGGTACTGACAGGCTCATGGAGAAGCAAGTTTTCGGTCTCAGCAGACTCTGAGCTGATCTCTGGGCTTGCCAAAGTGGTTGTGGCACCTTCACTGGAAGTTGGAGTTCCAGGAGTTGGCTGGAAGACCTCTTCCAGCATGCCACTGCCTACTTCTTCATCTCTAAACTTTCGTCCATTGCGAGTCGGGTCTGAGGAGCTGGACAAGCTGGTGAACTGTGACACCTCCTCTATCTTCTCCTCTTCATCCCCGGTAGACAAGGAGGTCACGTTAACAGCACTATCAACCTCGGTTTCATTTCCCACCACAGAGTTACCTGTTGAAAGGAGCAGATCACAGTTAGGAGAACTCAATGAAAACCTTTGCATTCATTGAAAAAGCCGCTGGTATTTAACTCTTTGCTTATTTCCTTCTCAGTGGTAGGTTTCCCAATATCTTTAAAAACTTCTTTAGCAAGCCTTGAGATTAGGCACAATTATTTAACTAATGCACATGGTTGTCAAAGACAGGATTAGGGGTTATGGGTCGCGACTAGATTCATATGGGCTCCCGGCGGAGCAACAATTACCTAAAAAGACACACACTATCTTTGACCACCAGAAAAGCCCATAGATTCTTTTGTCATCTTATCAGGTCTAATCAAACAATGTTGTAATTTAATTAAAGTAAACACAGTGTTCATAATCAATTCAATAAGGAAAAAAATTATAATAAGGAGTTACTTGATTTTATCCATCAAGTTGACTGTGAAAAATGCCACTATCTGACATGTGGCTGAAAAATAACAGGGCTTGCTTGGTGACTATGAATAAATGACATTTTGATCACTGTGCAATATATTGAAACTTGTGCTCAAAATACAACCTATGAAAACAAGTCTAAATATGCTTCTAAAGCAAATGTATCATATTTTATAGATTTGTATATATTTTTACTGGAAACAAATCAAAAAACACTTCACTAAAACTTATTAAGAAGTCATTTTTGAGGTAACAATAGTTTACAAAGACACTTGTTCCCCTTTGGAATAATATAAACAAATGAATCATTCACAATATGTCCAAGAATATGACTAAAAACACAGACACTCCCAATGAAGTAATGGTGAGCTAAAAAGATCATCTCTGGCCAAACTAATACAGTTAAGCAGGTCTCTTCCTCAATGACTAACAGTCCCTTAGACATCAATACAGCTTCAAGTACAATTCATTATCATTATGTTCTTTTTCATGAATTCAGAACTTGACATTTAGCCACTGGGAAATAATTCAAAGAACAAAGATTTCGTAGTTGTGGACTAAAAGCTCAAAAATGTGTTGCGGCTTCCACTACACAGGAAACTGTGTGAATTTCTGGAATGGCAATAGCACATTTTTTAAAAGTATATAGGCTCAGCTAAAAGTGTGTTTTAAAACACAGTGGATCTGTGATCCTGCAGTAAATGTCTAAGCAAACTTACATGATAGCCTCTCTTTCTTGAAGACCTTTGTTTCCAAAGATGGCTGATTTGCATTGATTCTCCTGTGCCATTACCTGACAGCTCTGGTGATGAAAAGTTTATTTACTTCTGTATTGCCAGGACATTTTTGTTCTAAAAACATCAGTGTTTTTTCACTTTAAAACCAGTGACCAATAAAGAAATAAATTGAGTATCGTCGGAGACATAACATGTGACAGTAGAGACTAAGATCTTTGGCACAGAGATGCTTCCCAGAAAATAAAAAGGTTCCCAAAAATGGCCAGATGTGCTTGGTCTGGATTTTATTAGTGAGCGTGAATCACTAATGTAGTATTTATGTGACAAATCTGACGGAGATGAATCTGATAGCGCTCCTTTGTGGTAACATTATAGTCTCTGCATTCGTGCAAGATTAACATGCCTTTCAAACACAGATGTCAAATCGATATTGAGGCATAAACACCAAACACAATACAACAAATAAGGGGAAACATATTCGAGCTTTCGCACACTCAAGCACATGAAATTGGATATTTAGAAACCTTAGGTTGTAATTCTTTTCTACTCTATTATATTTTAAAACATAATTTATTCCTGTGATGGCAAAGCTGAATTTTTAGCGGCCATTACTCCAGTCTTCAGTGTCACATGATCCTTCAGAAATTAGATTTGGAAAATTAATTAGAAAAACTAAAGGTACAAATATCAAAGCTTCATTGCACAGAGTAAAAATGAATCCTGTGTTTATTGTAACACAAAATATGATGACTAATACAGGAAGATGTGATCAATCTGACTAAATAGAAACCAGATGTGCAATTAAAATTCACGATCTCTACTGTACTGTACGTTGCACCATTAACACAGCCAATGCTAAGTAATAAAGCTCTCATTTGAGTAGCATAATCATATTTCCAGATTAGCGTATCTGCTAAATTGTATAATGGTGTTTTAGTGTGACTCATGTATAGAGCAGCCAGTGATTAAATTCGGGATAAAAACCAAACTGTGGTGTGGAAGGTCTGAATTTGATAAGTGAGAACAGTTAATGCACAGTGTCCTTCAATCATTTGCAAACGTATGTCATGGATACCTGACGTTAACCTAATTAGGAGCAGGATTTTCACATATGCTGTTTTCCTCTAACAGAATACGCCGAGCCGGTCAGACAGTCAAGACTATTTGTTTTGTAAGAATAAAAACATTTGACACCAGCTGGAATGCTGGTTTTGCAGATTTTGTGGGTTAAATAGCCAGATCTGGGTCAGATCTTTACAGCCAAGGCTTTATCAAAGATCTCCAGCCATAGTATTTAATGCGCCTCCCAGACGGGACGCAGTACAGAAGCAAGGAACCAGGGGCCCCAGGCAAAGCGGACACAAAAAGGTCCTTGTGTTTCCCCTTTTCTCTCAGATGGTCAAATCTTGTTACATAATACTCAGTTACCCCTTTTCTCTCAGGCACCCCAATGCAGCCCAGAGGGGAGGAGTTAATTTGGGGTTTGCCGCTTGTTGTTTGGTGGCCAGGCTGGGAGGAATGATGGCCACGGGATCTTAGTTGCATGACTTTGGGGAGACGCCAGGCTCTTTGTTTGTGCAGCTCTGCAGACAGTGAAGGGAGGACAGCGAAGAGCACTGACAGCTCGTCTGTACGTCTGATGGTTTTCTGATGGCAGGCTGCCCGAGCAAAAACTGTGGGAGGTACAACTCAGAAAAAACCATGGACCCAACAGCTGCATTTAAAGGGGTCATATGATGCGATTTCAAATTTTTTTTTTCTCTTTGGAGTGTTACAAGCTCTTGGTGCATAAAGAAGATCTGTAAAGTTGCAAAGACTAAAGTCTCAAATCCAAAGAGATATTATTTATAAAAGTTAAGACTTGTCCACGCCCTCCTAAAACGGCTCCTTCTAACACGCCCCCACATGTCTACGGCCGCTCCTTCGTCGAATCCGCCGGCTGTTCCTCACTCTAGCCCGCTGGCCTCCGCTCACTCAAGCCCGCAGTGTGTGACGCTGTGTGATGCATTTTATAGAGGACTTGGTTTTATGTTTACGCGGCACGATACGCAACGCGTAAAAACACAGTATAAGTCATTATAATCAGTAATTATGTCCCCACTGGATGCAACAAATGCCTCGTTTGTAATGGGTTTTATTGGTTTTGTCTCGTCGTGCCGGGAGGCACAGCATCACAGTCTGGTAAGGGGCGTAACATTTCCGTCACAAGCTTGAGGTATTCGGCCAATCACAATGCACTGGGCCAGCTGGCCAATCAGCGTACACCTCGCTTTTCAGAACGATGAGTTTTGTAAAAATCGACGCGTTTCAGAAAGGCGGGGCATAGAGGAGCAACAATAATGTACATTATGTGGAAAATAATGTGTTTTTTTTTTACCTTAAACCAAACAAACAAATTGCATTACACCAAATACACAACATAATGTTCTTTTTAGCAACGTCATATGACCCCTTTAACATTATTATGTCATCTGTCATAATCATATCTTATAATAGGTGGAGTATAACATTGCGATTTCTGTAAAGTCAACTTATTTCCAATTTACATCCAATTTTTCTTACATAATTTACTTACAAATGTACTTTTTTGTAATAAAATGAAGTTAACAATAAAATTTGAAAAGTTTATTAAAAACAATTATAATAGCATAAATATACACTACTGTGCAAAAGTTTGGGGGTGGTAGGATTTAATGTTCTTGAAAGAAGCTTCTTATGCTCACCAAAACTGCATTTATTTGATCAAAAATACAGTCAAAATAATAATATTGTGAAATATTTTTAGATTTTTAAAATGTAATTTATTCTTGTGACAAATTACTTCAGTTTTCAGTGTCACATGATCCATCAGAAATCATTATAATATTCTGATATTGTTGCTGAAGAAACATTTCTTCTTATTATTACCAATTTCGAAAACAGTCGTTGTGTTGCTTAATATTTCTGTGAAAATGAAAATATAAATTTTTTCAGAATTCTTTGATGAATAGAAAGGTCAAATGAACAGCATTTATTTTACTTTATTACTGTCATTTGTGATGAATTTAATGCATCCTTTTTGAATAAAAGTATTAATTTCTTTAAAAAATATGATATTACTCACCCTAAACTTTTAAACGGATGTGTGTGTGGGTGTGTGTATTATATATATATAGAAGCTGATGCCACCAAAGATTAATCATCAAATGAAGCGCCTTAATCATTGCATCGCTCCAGAACTTTGCGATACAAAAGAAAACACACAAAAAAACGTGCAAAATATAAATAAAGACTGATAGGGAGTAAATTCATGCAAAGGAGTGGTAAACATAGAGAGAGAAAAATCTAACTCATCAGTGTTGTCAACACAAAAACCCATCTATTCAATAAGCTTTTATGAAACACCTTAGTTTTTCTGTGCAAAAACACAGGATTCCATCCCTCCATGAAATATTTTACCTTGACTAATTATGCAGGTATTAACAGTCAGATCTTTTGACCTTGAGACATAATCAGACAGCTGCTACTGGACGTCTCTCCACCTCCCGTTGCATAAATCTTTTCATTTTTGTACTCAACAGGTGGTTGGGATGGAGGAGGGATGTGTTGCCATGGGAACCAGCTTGCCCTCACTGTGCAGAGTGAATGCAACGATGGAGCTGGAATAAGCTGTGCGAAAAACCTTCATCAAATTCATATGTCCACATCATGCATTTAAATAAAAAACACCTAGAAAATTTAAACTTGTGCTAAGCCTTCGACAATAAATAAATAAATAAAAATAAATAAGAGGCAGCTGCTTAATTGTCTAGCATCCACACACCCACTGGTTTTTATTTTATATCCTCTCTTTCATTTTTCTACTTTGATAGGCTAATTAAATAAGCTAATGGTGTCTTTCCATTACATGTATGAATTCACACGGCAGATACATTAGGGGTGGGGTGATCAGTTTCTGATGAAACACAAAATGGCAGCAGCCCACATTAACACAGCACATCTTTATAATTCACTCCCTTTCTTCTGGTTGCTTTAAATCCATTAATTAAAAGACAACAATCCGATGAAGACCCAGTAAACTCCTGCCTTCAAAATATTTGAAAAGCAAATGAATCTGATCACCAATAATGCCATTTTTCCTCACCTTGTTCTTACTCTGAAAACAGACTGCAGTGACTTTCTTTGGCAGCAAATGATTGTGAATGAATGCAAATCGGATTAAGCTCACCTAAAACCATCTAAAACCTGCAAGCTGTTGTTTTCGACTACAATGCAACAGATCCAGCTGAAAATACACAGCCCTTTGCCTACAAATCCATTCAATTCATAATGCACAAATGCATCCACACAACAACCATATTTCATGACAAAAATGCACTATTTGTCACAACAAGACTTAATACTAAACTGCAACCTGCAATTTAAGCAGCTGTGTAAATGACATCATATCCTTGGAACAAAGAGCAGCGAGGTTTAATTGCTGGTACTCAGGATTACATTGAAATTTTAACTAAAACTGCACAACTTGCAGATTTGGGAATAATAGCCTAGATTCAGAATGGTGGATTCCATTTGTGAGGATTGATGCAAACATCATTACATCATTCGAGCGAGGGTTTCCGTGTTAGAGGATAAAGCATCTCGATATTCTTCTCTAAATCTCAAGGGAATTGAGATCAGAATCCAGTGTTCAATGCACAGTAACAGGTGGCACATATATAGATATTAATTATGCATGGGTCAATGTATCAAAAATAATCACAAAATTAGATTAAAATCAAAACAGCTTTCCATTTACTGACATCAGAGCAGTCATTATGCATAATAAAAGAATATAATATATACTGAAAGCCCAAGCGTATGGTTTGATCGGCAAGATGTGACGGGCAACACCTTTTTTTCCCTACCAGCAGCTGAATCTTTCTGCACAGAAAATGGCAAGTGTGTGGCAATAAAAGGCGATTCAGCAAATACGGATCAGAGCATTGAAAGTGAATACATTATCAAATCAGTTACTGGGACAAATCAAATTTTCCTGCAGGTTACACCGCGCCGGTAATGACCTAATGGATTGGAAAAGGCTTTCTATGGCAGCCAGTGGCACACTTCATCTACTCAAATTACCATTTTACAAAAATTGCTTTATAAATTAAAAAAATTCCTTCTCGTTTACATTGGAGGGGGAAGTGAGCCGACCTAAAATCAAAAGCAGGTACATGCATGAAGCCAACAAAGGGCATGGCCACCGGTGACATCATTTTTACCTGACTGAGACCAAGACCACACTGGCCGCCATCACAGCAGCTTTATCGAAGGTGTACAGCTGATGTAGTGCAGCTTTTGGGCATCATCAAGTAAAATGTGTAATAACAAACCCTAATTGTCATCAATTTTCATATTCCTATTAGCAGATTCCAAGACACCATATTTTCCCTGTCCTGTTGTTGGGCGAAACTGAGTGTCCAGTCAGATGGACAATGGACTTTCTAACCACTAGTGAAGAATTAAACAATAGATTTATATGATTTCATGCTTTTTTTTTTTTTTTTACATAAAAACAGCGCGCGTCACACTGAGACTATCTCTAACGCTCTGTGATCTATCGGAATTTTAAACGCACCACTGGTCAAGGAAACAGTCGCTCCCATTGGGTTGGTCCTCCATTCTTCTCTGGCATTCTCAGGAGGAGGAGAACGACACAATCTTTCGAATAACCCAAGTGGCTGACCATTACAACAAAGACATTCTTGTTCCGTGCGTAAAATCAAACTACACGCATAAACAGTGTGATTTGCTGCGTGAGACTGTCCGAGCATAAATTATTTAGCGCTTTAATCCTGCCTTTGTGCGCCTCCATCATTGCCATAGTGACAACAGCTGCTCTGTAGAGTAATCACAGCGCAGTAACTCTACACTACTACTACTACTACTACTACGACTACTACTGCATAAAACAGCGAGGGGGAATGAGGAATTTGCGCATTATTTAAGGTCATAAATATCAAAAATGGTTGCAAATTGCTTGCAGATATTTTCTGTGGTGTCCCTTCCGTTTAATGTGGGTTAATTAATGATGTGCATTTTGGAAGAAGCCCCAAATTTCCCAGTTCGACATTTAACCTACATTTCCACGGCGCTGGTCCAGGCACATCAGCAGCAGCAGCCGCCGCCGGCGCGCAGTCATGATTTACGCACAGCAAAACCCAGCAGTGGCTGCACTACTGACCGACATTCTCATTTTGTGATGCTGTTCTGTCATGCCACCTCGTGTTTGAAGGCTACTGAGTGTTAACGATCAGCTGATTTAATATGCATGTGAAAAAACATCTTACCATGTGCAAACAGCGGTGTCAAGAAGACAAGCAGAAGGACAGAGAGCATCGGCACGCTCCAGCATCTCAAACACGAGCTCATCTCCTTTCGGTTCATGCTTGCATGTAACAAAGAAATCTAGCAAGGAAAAATTCTATAACCCTTGTTCAAAAAGTGTTCAAGTCGAGAAGTAAATCCTGGATGTGGTTTGTTCAGTCTGTTATAGCGTATCTCCTCTGCGCGGCGTCTCCATGTCCACTTCTTTTATGAGGTGTCTTCACTGGTCGTATTTGTTTACTTCTATTTTTTTCAATGCGATGGAATTTGGTCATTTATGGTCCCATTGCCACAGACAAAATGCAAGTCGGTGATCTTGCTGAGAAGCGTGAGGACGGACGGACGGCGCTGTGCGGACACGACCGAATCAATCGGGTTGTGAAACCAAACCGACTCGCGTCCACTTGGAGAGATGCGATTCTACGCGTTCTCACAGAATGAGAGGGAAAATGATTTCGGCTCCCACTGTCTCCCCACCCCCTCTGCTCCCCAACTCCTC